AGGAGGGAGAGAGAAAAGTCACTATGGACTGGTGCAAGGAAGTAAGCAAGACTTTTTCTCATTCTGTATGTTCTCCCCTGGCAATCAAACACATTTTTATTGCTGTACTTATACACCTGGCACAGGTCCTCTTGTTTTTTTATTTTTTTATTTATTTATTTATTTTTTTTTTTTGAGACAGTTTCGCTCTTGTTGCCCAGGCTGGAGTGAAATGGCACGATCTCGGCTCACCGCAACCTCCACTTCCCAGGTTCAAGCAATTCTGTCTCAGCCTCTTGAGTAGCTGGGATTACAGGCATGGGCCACCACCCCCGGGGTAATTTTCTACTTTTAGTAGAGATGGGATTTCAGCATGTTGGTCAGGCTGGTCTTCAACTCCTGACCTCAGGTGATCTGCCCGCCTTGGCCTCCCAAAGTGCTGGGATTACAAGCGTGAGCCACCGCGCCCGGCCACAGGTCCTTACCTTTTACCCAGACAATTACAACTCCCTCTAATGGGCAAACTGTTTCTTCTTATAGTTCTCTCAACTTTTATTTCTGTGTATTTTAAGAATATGTCATTAGATACATGTAAAGTTAGAACTGTTTTTATCTTCCTAGTGAGCACAATCTTGTTATTATGAAGTAGCCCTCTTTATCTCCTTCTGCCAAAAAGTCTATTTTGTCCAACAATAATAAGTTTGCTGATATATTTTCTCATCCTTTTACTATCAACATTTCATTATCCTTAGGTTTAAGCTGTTTCTCATAAAAATAATAAACTCATTTTTAATTCCATTTGACAATCTTTGTCATATTAACAGGACCACTTAGTCTGCTTACATTTACTGTTAAATGCAATCATAATGAGTAATAAATCTATCATCAATTTGTACTTTCCACATATGCCGGTCTATACTTCCCTGTAAAGTCATACCTAGGTTTTTAAATTCTCCCTTTTCTGTCCAGTTTTCCATATTCTCAGTTTCTACATCACATCTCTCCTTTAAATACTAAATGGTTCTCCACTCCCAACAGAAAAATCCAGATTCTTTACTATGTCACTTAAGCCCTTAGCAGTTTAGCTCTTCTCTATTCCATCCTCATTCCCCCTATATATCACCCTAGGCTCCAACCACTCTGAGCTTCCTGACAGTCCCATAAAGGGATAAAAAAGCCCTTTCAAATCTCCTGCCTTGGCTGGGCATGGTGGCTCATGCCTGTAATCCCAGCACTTTGGGAGGCTGAGGCAGACAGATCACCTGAGGTCAGGAGTTCAAGACCAGCCTGGCCAACATGGTGAAACTCCATCTCTACTAAAAATACAAAAATTACTTGGGCATGGTGGCGTGCACCTGTAATCCCAGCTACTTGGGAGGCTGAGGCAGGAGAATCGCTTGAACCGGGAGGCGGAGGTTGTAGTGAGCTGAGATCGCACCACTGCACTCCAGCCTGGGTAACAGTGAGACTCTGTCTCAAAAAAACAACAACAACAACTCCTGTCTTTATACTCAGTTAATTCTACTTACAAAGTTTTCTACCATTTCAGCCTAGATGACCCTATTTGTCTATCAAGATCCCAGTTCAACATAACTAGTTTGGGAAAGTCTTCCAAAAGCCCCCCAAGACAGATACGGTCACTATCTATTCTGAGCTTTGTGAATATCTCCAACAGAGTACCTATTAAATAATGCAAAATTTTTTTTTCCTTTGCTAGACTATGACTGCTTCCAAGGTAGAGACCAAGTTTTACTCAACTCTGTAGCCACAGTATACAAAAATAGGCAATGATGTTAATAAAGTGATTTCAAAGGCAGTGAAGATGATACCACCTTTGGACATATTTGTTTTAAAATAATAGATATCCTAATGTAAAACCTAATAGAAGAGGAATTTATACACTATTAGCCTAGATTTTCAAACTGATGGCTAAATTTTTGTTAAACTAGAGATCAACTGCCACAATCATGAACTCTTCTACATCCTGCGTCCAGCAATAAAAGCATAATAGTAGTCATTTAGTGCACACACATAACACAAGAAAAATATTTTTTAAATATACTAAACATAAAAATACACTAATGAAGTTCCCCATTCATCCTGAATGCCTAAAATTAACAGTTTAGAGAGAAAGAAGCAGTATATAGGTAACTCCGTATTTCTCATCATTTGTAGATAATAAAAAGGCTTTAAAAACCACATTGGTTAGAACTTGGCCTCTCTCCTCATGAGCTATTCTTTGATGACAGTTAAGAACTTGAACTTCATATCCAAACTCAAACTCCGTAAAGGTGACCAAAAAGGTATGTAATTTTCATAGACTGCCAAAGAACTAAATTCATTCACTTTATAAAATAAACAAAAAGCAACAATGTAGTGGGGCTTCAAAGAGTAAGACTTGAGAACCTAGAACCAACCCAATCCTGGGGGTGCTATGTGGCTACCTACTCCTCTTCCCTACCCTTGGGACAGACAACCAAATATTCTTAGCAGCCCACTTGACTTACATGTACATAAAGATCATCTAAATCAATAAGATTAAATTGCAGAAGTACTGCTGCAACTCTGTATAAAGATGATGGTGTCTCGCCATTTGGTTCCTAGAAATATAAAAAAAAGTTTCCACTTAGTGCAGAAAGGACAATTAAAGCAACATCCTTCACCTACCAATAATTAAGAACAATTAGATCAAATACTCTAGGCCAAGAAAGTGCTTCACTGCTCTTCCTTATCTTACCAAACATCTGAATTCAATACAAGGATTATTATGCCAACATCCCTTTTCACATTGGAACATCTTCTGAAGAACCCAAGGAAAGTAATTTCAAAAATGGACACAATTTACAGTGCAGGTTAACATTTAAATAAAATCTCACAACTGAATAGAGTGATATTTTATAATGCACAAGATTTAGTCTGCAGTTCTGTTTATATCTGTGTTTTCTTTTCTGTTCTTTGTGTGTTTTTTGGTTTTAGGGGGTTTTTTTGATACAGGGTCTCACTCTGTCACCCAGTCTGGAGTGCAGTGGCATGATCATGGCTCACTGCAGCCCTGATCTCCCAGGCTCAAGCGATCCTCCCATCTCAGCCTCCTGAGTAGTTGAACTACAGGTACATGCCCCCACACTCGACTTTTTTTTTTTTTTTTTAATAGAGATGGGGTCTCACTACGTCACTCAGGCTGATCTCGAACTCCTGGGCTCTAGTGATCCTCCCACCTCAGCCTCCCAAAGTGATGAGATTACAGGCATGAGCCACCACGCCTGGCTGATACATGTGTGTTTTCTTAACTTGCTTTTTCAAATTAGTTCTCAGTGGAGACGCAGATAGACAAACTGACAAGTGCAGAAGAACCATCAGCGTTTGCTTTATATTTTTCTTCCTTTAATTTTATTTCTTGGGTTTTATACTAAGTATATCTGGTTGTCAGTTGATGTTCCCCACAAAACAGGTGTACATAAATATTACAGATGAATAAATCGATGTTTTAAAGTACAGAATGTCAAAGTCAATTCCAGGCTAGCCATGAGGACCCTACATAGAAACATAAGAATCTTTGAATGCTATGAATTTTCAAATCTGATTTGCATACTGCTGAGGTCAGATGAATGGAACAGTGACGTGAGAATAACTGGCAATAACTAACTGGCCAAATGTAAATAAAAAGCAAACAATAACAATACACTATGTTCTTTTTATACTCAATACTGAAAATGAGACCTTTGTATGTAAGGTTCTTCCCACAATTGTGATATTATGCAAATAAAATACAAAGCTAACCAAACTAATGTTTATCATTTATAGAAGGCATTGTTTCACTCTATTTTTAAAAAACAGATGAGATGTCTTCAATGTAACAATAGTTTCCTAATTCTAATTTGTTTGCAGGCCAGGCACAGCAGCTCACGCCTGTAATCCCAACACTTTGCGAGGCCAAGGTGGGCAGATCACCTGAGGTCAGGAGTTTCAGACCAACCCGGACAACACACTGAAACCCCGTCTCTACTAAAAATACAAAAATTAGCCGGGCGTGGTGGCAGCCACCTATAATACCAGCTACTTGGGAGGCTGAGGCAGGAGAATCACTTCAGCCCAGGAGGCGGAGGTTGCAGTGAGCCAAGATCATGCCACTGTACTCCAGCCTGGGTGACAAAGAGAGACTCCATCTCAAAAAACTTTTTAAAACATATAAAAATAAATGTTTATAAATGGTTATTTAGTATCAAAACATTTTCCCATAAAAACCAATTGTTGTCAGGGTTTCAAAACAAACTCACAAAAGCTTATTTAACTTATTGACAACCTCTCCTCCACTACCTGACTTGAATGTACCAGAGCCATGTTCATTACTCCCTTCATTCTTGTTTAAATAAATCACCACAATATGCCCCACACTCTCATCCACATACTGTTATGCACAATCCCTGTTCTGTCCCATCATACCTTTCCACATCCTTGAAATACTTCCACAGAATCATATGGAATTCATGATCCATCCTCAGCAAAATTCCCTATATCCAAACCTCTCATCTAAAGGTTCTTTTCACCATGGTGCTCACACAGTACCTGGTTCACCCTGAGAACAGCACTCCCATTGTAACCCAGTTAAATGGTAGCTGTTTTCCTCAGACACCTCACACTACCAGGCCTAGAGGTGATGTGGCAGTTTTCTTTTTGCTTTTTATTGTTGCTTCCAGGCTATTCTCCCTCTATCCTCCCAGCTTTGAATTTCATATCACTCACTACTCCCTCACTATTGTTGCAATCTAGTTTCAATCTGTTGTGGTCAGAGATAATATTTTGTATGATTTCAACCGAGACTTGTTTTGTGGCCTAATATATGGTCTATTCTAAAGAATGTTCCATGTGCATTGAGAAGAATGTAGATTCTGTTGTTGGGTGTAATGTTCTATATATATAAAAAGTCTAATTGGTTTATAACGTTGTTCAAGTCTTCTATTTTCTTACTCATCTTTTGTCAAGTAATGGTTAGTTGTTCTAACTATTAATGAAAGTAAGGTATGGAAATGTCCAATAATTACAGAACTATGTTTCCTTCAAGTCTGCCAATGTTTGCTTCAAATACTCTGGGGCTCTGTTGTTTGGTACATGTATGTTTACAACTGTTATATCTTCTCAATGGGTTATCCATTTTATCATTATGTCTTTCATTGTCTCTTGTAAAAACTTACTGTCTTAAAGTCCACTTTGATATTAGTATAGCCACCCCAGGTCTCTCCAGCATAATGCTTGCACAAAGTATGTTTCCATACTTTCAGTTTCAAGCTATTTGTATCTCTAAATCTAAAGCAAGTTCCTCATACACAGTACATAGCTGGATCATGATTTTTTATACATTCTGCCAAACTCTTGCCTGTTAATTGGTGAGTTTAATCCATTTACATTCAAAATAATTATAGATAAGGATGAACTTTATCATTTTGCTAGCTGTTTTCTGTCATATTTTTGTTCCTCATTTCCTCTATCACTGCCTTTTTTGTTTGATTTTGTGTGTGTGCACCATTCTGATCCCCTTCTTCTCTTTTCTGTTTAGTTTTTAATTATTTTCTTAGTGGTTCCTTTAGGTATAATAATTAATATTTTAAACTTAAAACAACCTAGTTTGAATTAATACCAACTTCACTTCAATAGTGTACAAAACCTCTGCACCTATACATCTCTGCCCCTCCCCATCTATTGTTAGTCACAAATTACATTTTTATAGTATGCCATTTGACAGATTTATAACCTGGGTGATGGGATGAATTGTACCCCAAACCTCAGCATCACACAATATACCCAGGTAACAAATCTGCACATGTATCCTGAGTCTAAAATAAAAGTTTAAATTATTTTTTTAAAGATTCATAATTATTATTTTATGTATTTGTCTTTTAAGTCATATAGGAAAAAAAGGAGTTACAAACCACAAATGTAATAATACTGGCTTTTATATTTTACCTAGAGTTACTTACAGTGTTCTTTCTTTGGCTTGGCTTCTTCTGCCTGCTCAAATCTACTGTTGAACCTCTACAGTGAATTTTTTATTTCAGTTATTGTACTTTTCAACTCCGGAATTTGTTTGGTTCCTTTTCATAATTTTGTATCTCTTTATGGATGTTCTCTATTTATTTGGTGAGACAGCACACTCCTGGTTTCCTTTAGCTCATAAAGCATTTTAAGACTATTGATTTAAATTCCTTATCTAGGCCGGGCACAGTGACTCACACCTGTAATAATCCCAGCACTTTGGGAGACCGGGGCAGGCGGATCAATTGAGGTCAGGAGTTCAAAACCAGCCTGGCCAACATGGTGAAACCGTCTTTACTATAAAGACAAAAATCAGTCAGGCATGGTGGTGTGCACCTGTAGTCCCAGTTGTACTCAGGAGGTTGAGGCAGGAGAATCACTTGAACCCAGGAGACAGAGGTTGCAGTGAGCCAAGATTGTGCCACTGCACTTCAGCCTGGGTGACAGAGGGAGACTCCATCTCAAAAAAAAAACTGGACATATTTAATATTATATAGCAAGTATGGAGATCAGATTATTATCCACCCCCAAATGCCCAGAGGTTGGTTGATGCTGCTTATTGTGGATTTATTGTTGTGTGTGTGTGTTTAGTGACTTTTATAAACCCTTTTTGTAAAGTCTGTATTCTTCATCACGTGTGGCCACTTGAATCTATGTTCTGTCAGCTTAGTGACCAACTAGTATATTGACAGTTTTTTTAAAGACCTGGAGCAAAAATAAATAGGAAAAGAGAGTGCATTAGAAGACTCCTCAAAGTTTGGCCAGACCATTCACAGCTCTGCCTCGGTCTTCACTTCCTGCCTACTCAGACCCAGAAGAGAAAGCTTAGGGTCTCCTGGGTGACAGAGGGAGACTCCACCTCAAAAAAAAACTGGACATATTTAATATTATGTAGCAAGTATAAAAGATTTAAAATGGTACACCTGTGTAGGACACCCACCAAGAATAGAGCGTGCAGGACCAGAAGTTGCTCTGGGTAAGTTAGCGAGTGAATATGAAGGTCTAAGACATTGCTGGACACTACTAACACTATATTTTATAAACACTATATATTTAGGTTAAAATTTTTTTAATATTTCTTTCTTCAATAAATTAAAATAAATTAAGCTTAGCTTACTGTAACTTTTTTACCTTATAAGCTTTTTAATATTTTTTAACTTTTTGACTTTTTTGTAGTAACGCTTAGCTTAAAACACTTTGTACAGCTGTACAAAAATTTTTTTTATGTCCTTATTCTATAAGCTTTTTTGTATTTTTAAGACTTGTTGGCCAGGTGCGGTGGTTCGCACCTGTAATCCCAGCACTTTGGGAGGCCGAGGAAGGTGGATCACCTGAGGTCAGGAGTTCAAGACCAGCCTGACCAACATGGTGAAACTCCATCTCCACTAAAAATACAAAAAATTAGCCACACTTAGTGGCAGGTGCCTGTAATCCCAGCTACTAGGGAGGCTGAGGCAGGAGAATGGCTTGAATCCGGGAGGCGGAGGCTGCAGTGAGGCCGAGATTGCACCATTGCACTCCAGCATGGGCAAGGAGAACAAAACTCCATCTCAAAAAAAAAAAAGATTTA